GTTGTTGTTTTAGTTAAATAAAACAATTTAAATGTCTGTCTGGTGATGAGAACAGGAGTACTTGTGGCACCTTAGAGACTAACAAATTTATTAGAGCATAAGCTTTGCCCACGAAAGCTTATGCTCTAATAAATTTGTTAGTCTCTAAGGTGCCACAAGTACTCCTGTTCTTTTTGCGGATACAGACTAACACGACTGCTACTCTGAAACCTGTCTGGTGATGTTCTCCTCCTAATAGAGCATGGCAAGAAAATCCTCCAAATATTAATGATTAACCTGTTGAACTGGAGATATTTATGAAGTCATTGGGAGGTGAACTATCTGCTTCAATTACCTTTGGTAAATGAAATAACCAAACAATCATTCATTTTCTGATATAGCTGTAAAACTAATCTGAAAAGTTTTCCAAATAAGTCAGTTTAAAAATGTATAGTGTGTACCTTCTAAAAATGAAACCTATATCTGAGTTGTGAAGAATATGTATTGTTATAACAAGGATGCACTTATATGTAGAAATCCATGATTAAATTGCGTCTTCCTGACTAGTGATTTAAATCATGATTTAAATCAATTTGATTTAAATGAAATCCACCCTGCTAGAGCATATTCAGTGCCTCTCTGACCATAGAGCATGCACTAGGAGCTGTGGGATACTCCGGCATGCTCAGCAGGGACACAATCTTCAGAGGTTTCAGCTGTCAAAAAATCAAAGAAGTCTCTGCTGAGTACGTGACACCTGCCATTTTTCAAAGCCTTATAACTTGGCCAATGTTGGGTAGTTTTTCCATGGGGAAGGCAAAAGGCACATCCCTCACACAAAGACCCCCTCCACTGCCAAAGTTCAGCTCCCTCATCTAAAGCATCGGGGTGTGGGAACATTTCAAAGAAACGATCAAGAATTTTGTAACATCAGCAAAACAATGTATTTTCCTCTAGCCTTGTTCTCAGAAACAGCCAAACTGCTTGGGCTGAATTTAAAAAATAAATCCTGAGGCAGACACCTGGCATGGAAAATTTCAGCCCAAACAGTTACATTTTGGTAAAATTTTAAACAGAAAAGAGGGTCTTATAGGCAGCACTACCAACCCCATCTACAGTATGTCTGGGAGGATTCTTCCCAGTTTTGTTTCAGATTGGCTGCAACACTTGTTCCACTTCTGCATTAATCTGGACGACTTCTTTCAAAATCCATCAGAAATAATCTGCTCTTTAAATTAAAACTTCATTTAGAAAAACTGCAAACTGGGATGATTTGAGCAGCTAAGAATTTGAATTTTCCTTCTGCAAAATTCCTAAGCTCTGCAGGAGAGGCTCCTTCCTGACGCAGTGATTGGAAGCGTTACTCTGCCACAGCACCGGCCCATTGCTGAACTTTTACTCACAAATGCAATATGCCAAGGGTAGGTGTAGCTCACGACCAAACTAGCAATTGAAGGCTACTTGCTTTAAGATGTATTAACTTTTAGTTCCAAGAGTGTAGCAAAGCCTTGACAGATGTACACATTTCACCAGGATTCTGCAGCATACAAAGTCTTTATTCAAGTATAGTATTTACAGTTCTTACATAATGTACATAGAGTAACTATAAAGATAATGTATTTTTCTTCATTTACAATGAAACTACAATAAAACTACATTCAAGTTTTTGATACAAAGTCTATAGACTTATTAAATGCAAAGTAGGGCTGGTTATACATTCTTTCCAATTATGCATTTAGGAAACAAACAAAAAATCACAAGTGAATAAAAGCATTTACTACTGGAATGGTTCAAAAACACCGTCTAGTACAGATGTACTCAGGGATAGATACAGAAAGTCATTTATCACTCCAAACAGAATAACCATCCAGTTTGAGGAAACATGGTTTGATTCCTCAGTAATTACTATCATAACATGGGGAAAATTCTGATCTTAAGATAAAAATCAAGTGGGAATTTTCCTCTCTTACCATCTCCTTCCACGGGAAAAGAGAAGAAATAGTCTAAAGAAAGAATGGGGAAGGGGGGAAATGCAAATAAAAAGTACATTCATCTCCTCCCCACATCATATCTGTACATAGTTGGTTGACTGTTTTAAGTGTCCATTTCTACAAACCAGATATTGATACCGTGACATGTGTGGGTCAGGCAGAACGCTGTGCAAAATAGTATCAACCATGGCATTGTATTTAACTGGGGAAAATATTCTTTTACCTATCTGTAAGTGGATGGATAGTGGATGTTTTCAGAATTGGCTTTTAAAATGCTTTCAGTATCTTGTTCAGTTCTAATCCTTTTGATGTACAAATATTCATGCCTTGGACTCAAGACACTAATACATTATTTGGAATTCTATGAAATGGTCCTTTTATGTTCTCTGTGCCATTCAGAGATTTTATTAAAATGCATACTTCACATGCACGTTTGTTTAAAAAACAGGATTTCCGTGCTTCCCAGCAGCTGTCTATACACACTCAAAACATCATAGCAAATGTTACACTTCTAGTTCTCATGTATCCCTTGCACCAATGCTTACAAATAATTGGTATACGTCAAACAACACGCTGTGGGTACAAGTCATGATTCAGAACAAGAAAAAGACTCCATTTTATATAGAGAATTTACTGATAAACCAACAGCACATGGAGGTGGTTTGTTTACGTCAGCCCTGTCTGCATGTAAAGCAAGTGAAAATGAATCCCTACAAGTGGAAGACACAGACAGTATCTTCCAACATACCATGACCATTATAAATCATTAAGAGCATAATCTGAGTCCAGTGAAGTCAATGGGAAGGCTCCTGCTGATTTCAATGAGGTTGAGATTAGGTCCCAATTGTACAGGCGAGGAAACTAAATTCTACCATGTATTAATGAACTGAAGTGCATGTTCCAACTGCAACACAAGTGAAAGCAAAGCAAGACTTCTACCACCTACTGGATTCACTCAAACTTAAGGAAAAGGATAATGATTTCAATATGTCAAATAGCATAAAATTCAGCACAGTACAGAAATACCTGAATATATAATCATTGTACCGACAGTAACAGAAAACAGGAAGCCTTAAAAACAAGTATAGATTGTAATGAAACATTACAGCCACAATTTTAACCAGCAGATAACCTACGTAAGTCATGTCAAAACAAAAAGTGTACTAAAATGTATTATGTGCTTTTCCATATTTACTCATTCCAAAAGTCTTTCTGCACATCTGGCCCTGGCTAGGATAAAGATAATAAAAGCCTTCAGTGTGGTAGCCAATACTAGGAATTCACATTTTATAATGATAAATTTATTTTAAACTGTGTTAAGAAAATACTGCTGCCTTCTCCACAAATTAAAGCCAGTTGTATTCTACACATATATGAAAGTATGAACTGGAACTAAACTTTCCCATTACTTGGCAACTGGTTCAGCAGATACTAAAGCATGATGGAGTCTTACTGCATGCACACTACTCAAGTGATATTCAGATTCACCTCGTAGCATGCGTGGGAATTTCCTAATACTACTAAGCAAAACAGCAGCACAGGAGTTATAGACTTGCCCATCAAGGACCATCTCTAAAGCCAGAGAGTCAATTGTACTTCGTCCTGCTAACTGAAGACTTGATCTTCCTATGCACCAGATAGCTTCACGGCATGTCTATTTTTGTCAGTGTCATTGATCACAAAAATGCTCTTCTGGTGAATGGACATTACGCTGCACATCTCAGCATACATACCTGGCCAAGGAACTACACTGCATAGCCTGGGCTGCCAAAACCACTTCCCAAGTTTTTACAAACTCTAGGGCGTCCGTCAGAGCACTCTGACACGATCTACAGATCATACACAGTATCAAAAGCTACTGACTGAGGAGAGCTGGGAACGCAGCAGGGGCTCCACACAGCTACAGAGGAAGAGAGCTGTGCTTTAGAGGGAATCCTTTTGCAAGCTTCAGCAGCAACCCTGAGTGACTGGGAAGGAAATGCTGCCAGTGGTCACACGGGTGGAGATATGGCTTGGGGCATCTCCGAGGAGAGACTTCCAATCTCTTTCAGTTCTACGGAATAAAGACCGTGATCGTGCCCTGAAGCTTCGGGCAGCTTTTCTTTACAGTCACTCTCGCTGTACACCAAGCATTACTTGTAACGCAAGACAAGGCATCTAGACAAAACTGTGCATCTAAAATGTGTGCTCTATACTGGGCGTATCTTACACAGCGTCTCAACTGCACGTGTGGAAGCTTTTACTCCAGATAGAATGCTAGTTAACATGACAGATCAGAGAGCACGCAGTCATTCTACAGGAAGCCATTCCTGTTAAAAAAGCTTATGAAACCGATTTGTAAGCAATAACCTCAAATGTATCACTATCCAAAATAAATGCAGTTAAAATGGGCACAATTTACTCTGCTTAAAGTAATTAGGCTACAAATAAAGCAATGATGAGACTGTAAAATTCACCCATTTGCCACAATCTATTGGACACTTTCTGTAGCATTAAGATCTTACTCTGGTATCAAAGATCTTTCACATATTTTATTTTTGATTAGATATTTAATACACAAGGATAAATATTTAAAATAGCTATCTGAAATGTAACATGCCTGGAAAAGCTTAATTTTATCACACATTTACATAAATTTAGAAAGCCCCTTCTGTATTTGCATTGTAACAAGCAAATGTTTTAAAATCTCACTTATTTCCAAAGTAAATTTTAGCAGCAGTATAGCACGTTGTTCTAATGGTTGAGGCAGATTACAGGAAATCTGCAGTAGTTTGGAAGACCAACCTAGAAATCCTGTTCAAAGTGCCAGCAAATGGAGGACCAATAACTAAGAAAGTCTGAGATGCTTTTGGGGCTCAGGTGTGTATTATCTATCTATAGGCTATATACTATAAATACATAGATAAATCTGTATTTCGATACATCACGTACATGTGCACATTGACAAAATGCAGGGTGGAGCCCACTGAAAAGCTCTTGTTGCTGCCAACAGAATACCACGTCAGATTAGATTCATTTTTTAGAGCAGCGGTACAGTAAGACTTCCAGGTTTTCTACTACATGCCCTATTTTAGAAAGTAAGTACACAGACTATATTATGGCAGGCTTTGGCAAAAAGCATTGATTGCCCCCAGTGTAGGATGGCTACATCACTTGTGAGTGTTTTAATATTTCTTTATTGGGAACAATCCTGACAACAGCTTGGCGGGAGAGGCAACCTTCATTAGTATGACTGTCCTATGTTAATGCTTTGCTTGGCTCACTATTTATTTTCTACTCCCTAATTCCAGCTTTTGAGATTCATTTTGATGTCAGTCAGTTGAATGCATTAAAAACAAAACTTGATGGCATTAGGGGATCAAAATTTATTCCTATGGGAAAGTTCCACAGAGAATCAATCAAATAAGCAACTTTATTCACAGCAAGTCTGAATGTAAAAAAGGAAAGTAGCTGCTTCTCTGACATTTGGTCCTCCAGAATATGTACCTACAGTGACAGGACAGCAGACACTGGCCTAATGGCCTGCATTGTTGGAAGGAGTCAGCTGTGAAAGAGCCTGCAACAACAACATTTCCTGTGTTAGTAGCACACCAGGGCAGAGGGGATGGAGGATCGGGTGTGTCATGGGCAGATGTACAGAAGGGAAGTTCAGGCAGGTGATCACCAGCTTTCCCATCCAAACAGACTGGAGAGGGAAAAGGCAAGCTGGTCCTTGCCTTAAGAGACAGGAGCTGTAGGGTTATAGCCAGGCAGAATGGGGGAGACAGGGAAATTGTGCTGCTAGGGACTGCTCATAAGCAATGATGATCTGGTCATCCCACAACACTTACAGGTTATGAGTTCTGCAACGGTCCCAGCCTCCGCCAGCCTTGAGTGTGACTCAACCTAATCCTGCTTCCACATGGCAAAACAGAACACACTCCAACCAGAGGCAGCATCCCTTGCTAAAACAGCTCCATCTCCAACTGCTGCGGTAGTCACCCTGAATCACATGCAGCAAATTACACCTCCCACCCAGCCGAAGGCTACACTAGAGTGCTCACTCAATCCAGACTACCAAATATCTAACAAAAAGCATATAATGAAAGCAGTTTAAAAAAATATAGACCGCTGCTCTATAAGCATTAGAAAAGAACCAGGTTCCTTCTTAGACATTCAAGACTTCTGTGAATCTGATTGCTGAAAACGGTTTAGCTTCTCTGGATTATTGGATGCCATTTGGGAAAAATCACGAAAAATGTCCTGGTAAGTTTCATCTCCTGGGTAGAAGAAAAAAAATAAATTAGGAAAATATTTCTAAAATATTTATGATGGCTAACACCACGCATCATCTCACAAATGTCCTAGTCATTACTGCATAACATTTATGTTTGTATAACAGATTGTTCATATATGGTATAAAATTGATTGGTGACATGAAAGCTGACAGAGACTGGTTAACGACATGCACATTCTATAAAAGCAAATTAAACAAAACCAAATTATACCTGAAAATAGCGCCTCAAAGGCAGCCACACAGAGGAAAGTTCAGAATTAGAAAGGAGATGCAAGCATTTTAAAACAATGTAAAAGAAAAACATGTTTAACATATACACAATAAAATCATTATTTTAAAAACAAAATAGTCAGAGGCTCTCTTGAAAGTAGATCTATGGCAGAAATAAGGGATGAAGAAAAAATTTCATAACCAGCTAGTCCATAATATAACAATTATTAGCAAGCAACAGTGTAAGAGCAGAGCACATTCCTACATTACTGAGGAAATTAAAGTTTGTAAGTGCTGGTGGTTTAGTATTTTAATAGGTAAAATGGCATTTTGTTTTATTTTTAAATGCAATATTTAACATGTTTGTGTCTTATACTTGGGAGTCTCTCTACATTAAGACAATGACCCATTGCTGACCATGGTTTTTACAGCAGTATCACCCAGCCCCTTCAATGGGTACTGAAAATGATTTCGCAGATAGCAGAGCATGGAAAGGAGATTTGTTCCAAGTCTCTCTTCCTGTCCTGTCTACACTAGCAGCTAAGCAATTGTCAGCCATTGTTTTCCATGGAATTTATTCATGTGCTGGAACGCTTTGCAGAAGCAGGGAATATGCTGCCATCCAAAACCTGCCCCTTCCCAGTCAGGAAAGGAGCATGCAGGGCCCAAATGCTGCTGTTCCCTGTCTGACAACTCCATTATATGTTGCACAACGTAAGAGAAGAGGGGAACCAAAAGTTTACCTCTATCACCAACTACGGTGGTGTGCAACAGATACCTCCCTTCCCTCTGGCTAGCTGGCGAAGGGAAGCAGATATTCCCCCTTCATCCACTTCCACATGGCATGGTTTTAAATGACTTTACAGAGCTTAAGGGACAGGGAGTAGGTTACATTGTCATTATGTCTTTCCACCATTTTATATGTGCATTTCCAGTGCCAAACCTGTGTCATTCCTGTGTATTTGTGGTTAGCATGGTGTTCATTTGAAAACAGAGATTCTCAGAAATGACATTGCCAGCAGATCGAGGGAAGTGATTATTCCCCTCTATTCGATACTGATGACGCCACATCTGTAGTATTGAGTCCAGTTTTGGTCCCTCCCACTACAGAAGGGATGTGGACAAATTGGAAAGAGTCCAGCAGAGGACAACGAAAATGCTCAGGGGGCTGGAGCACATGACTTATGAGGAGAGGCTGAGGGAACTGGGATTGTTTAGTCTGCAGAAGAGAAGAGTGAGGGGGGATTTGATAGCAGCCTTCAACTACCTGAAGGGGGGTTCCAAAGAGGATGGAGCTCGGCTGTTCTCAGTGGTGGCAGATGACAGAACAAGGAGCAATGGTCTCAAGTTGCAGTGGGGGAGGTCTAGGTTGGCTATTAGGAAAAACTTTTTCACTAGGAGGGTGGTGAAGCACTGGAACGGGTTACCTAGGGAGTTGGTGGAATCTCCATCCTTAGAGGTTTTTAAGGCCCGGCTTGACAAAGCCCTGGCTGGGACGATTTAGTTGGGGGTTGGTCCTGCTTTGAGCAGGGGGTTGGACTAGATACCTCCTGAGGTCCCTTCCAACCCTGATATTCTATGATTCTTGGCCAGAACAAAATTAGAATAGTGGCAGGGTTTACATAAAATGTAACCATACAGAAATCTTCCCCAACTCTAAAAAAAAATAAATACTGTCACTAGCACATTTTAAAAAGGAACTTCCTTTCTATTGAAATTCCTTTCTGTTTTCAGGTTTATCTCCAAGCACTTTTCGAGATCTGAACAGACAGACACAGCATGTGTTTGCTCGTAACAGCTACTGCTAATTACTTCTACTGAGAGGCAAGCATACAACAAAACTGGAGTCGTGATCATTCATCTAGAGAATATAAACTAAAGAACAAGTCAGAGTTGACCATGTCTAATGCATGTTATTAAAATAACACAGTAGAAATTGATTCCATGGATGAACTAATGCTGCAGTTCAGTTAACACATTTGGTTCTTTGATGTTCCCTCTCAAGAAAAACTGTTTGTGCAAGATACATTTTTGGCTCTATTTTTGGCTATTTTGGATGATGATAAAAAAGTATCACATACAAAAATAGACGAGTAAAATAAAGTGTTCCTTAAGTTTGTACACTGCATGAAAATATTTAATACTGTAAACCTTGTAAATATTATTTTAAAACGTTGTTTAAAATTGAATTCTGGAAAGCCCCTTTCCAAGCAAAATGTAGCTAAAGTGCAGATTTTTAATACAAAAATACTATATCACTGCTTAACCATTCAACAGCAAAATAACTTAAAAGGCACACATTGAACATTTAAGAAAAGACAGGAAAGAGGGCAGAGGACACCTGGTAACAGACTTTCTGTAGCACCAAGAGGTAAGCATTCTCAAGCATTATACAAGGAACAGTACCCATGGAGTATATGGCTTCTACCACCAGCAAGGCATATTTTGTAGAATGAGCTGTTTAAATCAGCTGATACCATTTACATAAAGTACATTTTGGAAGACTCGTTGTACCATGCAAAGTCATGCGTATGTTCCATCAACAGTTCAAACCAATCCTGTTTTTACATCAGAAATGTTGATGCTACTTAGCTAAACTAATTGTTGGTTTCACTTACTTCATAGCATGGGTAAGTGGATACTGCAATCGGAGCTGTGACTGCAGCTCAGGTGGGCGTACCGGCAGTAACTTTAATCTAGCTAATGCGGCTAAAAATAGCAGTGAAAACTTGGCAACACAGATCTTCGCTGCAGTCCAGCAACACAAATACGTACCCCAGGTTCCAGGCGGGTTTGTACAGTCCGTGCTAATGCCAGTGCCACCACGCCTTCATTATTATTTTTAGCCACACAGTCTCGTTAAAGCTTGCGCAGGTATGCCTACCTGAGCCGTAATCACACCTCTGACTGCAGTGTAGACATACCTTAAAGTACAGAAGTATCCACTTCACATCGCTCCATGCTTACATCAGGACTCTCTTACACCACACTTATCCTCACCTAACTCCAAATCCCAGGAAAATTATCAAAGAATCTAGTATTATACCATCACCTTTTTCAGAACCATCTCTGTAGAGCACTATTAGAGTAAGGGTGGCAAGGACATTTTAAGATACATCTCTCTTGCAAAGTTGTTGCCTTCATCATCACAGTAAAGGCAAGGTGAACATATTTTGTGCTCAGGCTGGTAAATTCACATGACAATTTGCCAGGCTTAACACGTATTAACATTGAAAACATTCAAATCATTAATTATAATTTGTAAATATTTTGCATTAATCAAATACTGCTGGTCACAAAGTTCCCAGGGACGCAGCATGATCCGGTGACTGAGGTGCTGGACCACAAGAAAGGAGACCCAAGTTCTACCACTGGCTCTGCTAAGGTCTCCTGCATAACTTGAGGCAAGTCACTTCCCCTCTCTCCACTTCTATTTTCCCTTTATCAGTCTTGCTGATTTAGATTGGGCAGGGACTGATTCTCACTGTAGGTACCATGCCCAGCACAACGGGGTCTCCAATCTCAGCTGGGGCTTGGAGATGCTGCCATAACACAAATAATAGATAATCCTCAGATTGTCTTTGATGAAAAAAATTCTCTCTGTTTTCTGAGTTTTCCACCTGGTTGAAAAAATTTTGTCTAAAAATCCTTTGAACACAAAGCTGGGGGAAGACATTTCCCATTTTCAGTCACCTCAATTTAAAGGTTAGACATTCAATGCATTTTATGTAAATAAAATTTGCCTGTATTTGTTATGAACGAAAGCCAGCGCAAGCCCTGGAACATTCAATAGCAAAAAAACCTCTTTTTTCTACATACTATACAAATACAAATTTTGATTTATAACACTTTTGCACCTGTGGCATGCCAGTTAATTTATCCAAAATTTATATTAAAAGATTTTACTTTAAAACTACCAAATTCAAGCATTTTGCCTCAAAGCAAATGCATTCCACCCTTGAAATTAGATGGTCATTTCTTTCTTTTTTCTTTAACTTTAGTTCTCAATTTCATTTTCATTTTAAATAGTTAGGAGGTTCCCTGTTACCTGTAGCCTGTCAATCAAACAGAACACAATTTGTTAGTTGTTAATGTCACTGGCTGAATGTTGGACAGTCAAAAAGGGGATGGACTTTCCTTTACTCAGCAGAAGAGCCTGCATCATTTTTGACTGGTGGTTTCTTCCAAGTTTAATGTCAAAAACCTTTAATATTAACTTAAACCACAACTCCAAGAAAATTCAGAGTTATGGTTGAAAATCCATCCTTAAGGAGGTCTGTTATGAAATACTGGTACATAATCCTAGGTTTCTGAATACTGGATTATGCTGCAGGATTTATGTGCATATTTATGGGATATTGGTGTATGGTTTGATCTGCTGGCAAAGCACTTATGCACAAGCAGTCGCTTTGAAGTGAATGGCACAAGCTTAAGTTCTTTGTTGGATCAACACCACAGTGATTAGCACTTTGCAGGAACGAGCCCTTGAAGCAGGATGGTTTTGCTTTAACTAAATTCCCTGGCTGGTGCCCATTTAAGTCAGATTTAACAATAACTAGTACCATAACTTGTCAACCAACTTCACTTCTATTATTGCTTTCCTTTAGCATTAGTTTAAATAAGTCCCCAATAATAAAAGTGGTTTGTATAAATACAAGTTTAGACATTTTGGTGTAAATGTTGTTTGCGCATGAGCTATTTGTACATATATGCCAAGTGGGATTTTTTGCTTTTTAATACCAATTGAACCAAATACTTGCCAATTTTTTCTAATGTACTGGTTTAGTTGTATAGTACAAAAATGTGTCTTTAAAAATGAATGTTTGGACTAATGTCTGTATAACTTAAAAAACATTTAAAAAAATTATTAGTGCAAAAGAAGCCCTTCTTTTTATGTTTCTGCCCATAGTGATTTTGTATGAATGTTTTGTGTAGGCCTCAGGAAATGGGGCTCTAATGGAGAAGACAGACATCCCGTAATAAGATTAACTCTTGACTGCTGCTGAACCATCCCGATAGAAGGCAGTAGCTAAACACTGCCTAGGTTTCAGCGGAACGTTACTAGAAAGCGGCACAGCAGATGGTGTGGAGGGCCACCAGCAAAAAGAGTTGCATACAGCGATGCTAACATGTACCACGACAACTGTGAATTTCAAACACCCTCCCTCCTCAACCTGTGAGCACTTGACTGTTTAGAGTATACAACTGTCCACTTCAATCAAATGTCATACATGTCTATGTTGCTTATGAAAACACTGTGGTATGAAGCTACTTTAATTTTCTTTTGCTCAAAAACTATGAATCATCTAGCTGTAAACTAATAAATTCCTGAATGCATTTCTTATACTGCATCTCAGTATGGTTATTAGTAGAGTATTGACCTGGCTGTCCATAAAGTCCTTCTGATTCCCGCATTTCTTCATTCATTCTCGCCAAACGTAACCTATGGTTTGGAAAAGACAAGAATGTCATTTTGACTACATTGAAAATAACATAATACAAACTATAATGCATTTCTGAGTTTCATCAGTGAAAGATACACAGGGCTTATTTCAGTTCATCCAGTGAACACTATGCCCTCTCTCTCTGGATTGCCTTGAGTTTGTCCATTCTGATATAAATTCATCCAAGTATTTCTTATATGCTTACAGGACTCAGAGTATAGCAATACAGGAAAAAATCTGAAATTCAACCTAATCAAACACACTTACAGAGTTACGATATCCGCATTTGCAGCTTCTACAGCTATACTCAAAGGGTCTTTCCCTTCTTCATCAGTGGCATGCTGATTTGCTCCTCGTTTTAGGAATAAACACACTTGCCTATTAAAGAAATGGCATTATTCCATAATTTCCACCAGAAAAAAAAAATCAAACATTTTTACAGACAAACAAGCTGGATCCAATACAGTTTAGTTTAAACCAGCTAAAATAATCTGAACATCTCAAATCTCTTCCAAGTGCATTTTACACAAACCCTAGCAACACAGCTTCAATCCATCAGCTCAATTAATCTGAAATGATGCCAAGGTTTCAATAGTGCAGAAAGTCATTTCTTAATTTAATCAAAACTAAACTGGAGCTGTGGAATAATTTTTGATAAATATCACAGGTTAATAATGGAGACTGTTACAAGGGGTCTCTCCTCCCTTTGGAGATCACACTCAGTAGGACCAAAGGCTTTAAGACCTCACAAGAACGTAAGAATGACCATATGGGCGATACTAGGCCAATGGTCCATCTAGCCAAGTATCCTGTCTTCTGACAGTGGCTGCTGCCAGATGCTTCAGAGGGAATGACCAGAACAGGCAATCATCAAGTGATCCATGCCCTGTCATCCATTCCCAGTTTCTGGCAGTCAGAGGCTTAGGGACACCCAGAGCATGGGGCTACATCCCTGCCCATCCTGGCTAATAGCCATTGATGGACCTATCCTCCATGAAGTTATCTAGTAGTTTTTTTTAACCCTGTTATAGTTTTGGACTTCACAACATCCCCTGGCAATGAGTTCCACAGGTTGACTGTGCATTGTATGAAGTAGTACTTCCTTATGTTTGCTTTAAACCTGCAGCCTGTTAATTTAATTGGGTGACCCCTGGTTCTTCTGTTATGAGAAAGGGTAAATAATATTTCTTTATTCACTCTTCATACCACTCATGATTTTATAGACCTTTATGAAATATGCCACGTCCTCTTTTCTAAACTGAACAGTTGCAGTCTTTTTAATCTTTCCTCATATGGAAGTTGTTCAATATCCCTAATAATTTTTGTTGCCCTTCTCTGTACTTTTTCCAATTCTAATATATCTTTTTTGAGGTGGGGTGACCAGAACTGCACACAGTATGCAAGGTATAGGAGTACCATGGATTTATATAGTGGCATTAAGATATTTTCTATTATTATCTATCCCTTTCCCAATGGTTCCTAACATTTTGGTAGCTTTTTGACTGCTGCTGCACATTGAGCAAATGTTTTCAGAGAACTATTCACAATGACTCCAAGATCTCTTTCCTCAGTGGTAACAACTAATCTAGACCCCATCATTTTGTATGCATAGCTGGGATGATGGTTTCCAATGGGCATTACTCTGCATTTATCAGCATTGAATTTCATCGGCCATTTTGTTGTCCAGTCGCTCAGTTTAATGAGATCCTCTTGTAACGCTCTGCAGTCAGCTTTGGACTTAACTATCTTGAGTAATTTAGTATCAAATGCAAACTTTGCCACGTCACTATTCACCCCCTTTTCCCGATCATTTATGAATATGTTGAACCGCACTGGTCCCAGTGCAGATCATTAGGGGACCCCCATTATTTACCTGTCCCCACTGTGAAAACTGGCCATTTGTTCCTACCCTTTGTTTCCTATCTTTTAATCAGTTACTAATCCATCAGAGGACCTTCCGCCTTATCCTATGACTTTACTTAAGAGCATTTGGTGAGGAACCTTGTCAAAGGCTTTCTGAAAGTCCAAGTACTCTATAGCCACTTTGTCCAAAGTTTGCTGACCACTCTCAGAGAATTTTAAGAGATCGGTGAGAAATAATTTCCCTTTACTAAAGCTGCATTGACTCTTCCACCATATCATCTTCATCTATGTCTGTATTTTATTTACTATACTTTCAAACAATTTGTCTGGTACTAAAGTTAAACTCACTGGCCTGAAATTACCAGGATCGACTCTGGAGCCTTTTAAAAAAATTGATGTTACATTAGCTATCTGCCAGTCATCTGATACAGAGGTTGATTTAAGTGATAGGTTACACACCAAAGTTAGTAGTTCTGTAATTTCAGGTTTGAGTTCCTTCAGAACTCTTGGGTGAATCTGTTCCTGGTGACTTACACTGCTGTTTAATTTATCAATTTATTCCAAAACGTCCTCTACTGACACCTCAATCTGGGACAGTTCCCCAGATTTGTCACCTAAACAAGGTCTCAGGTGTGGGAATCTCCCTCACATTCTCTACAGTGAAGACCAATGCGAAGAATTTTTTTTAGCTTCTTCGCAATTGCCTTATCTTCCTTGAGTGCTCCTTTAGCATCTCGATCGTCCGGAAGTCCCAATGATTGTTTGACGGGCTTCCTACTTCTAATCTTCTTAAAACAAACTTTTGCCGTTAAATTTTTGTCTTTTGCTAGTTGCTCTTCAAGTTCTTTTTTGGCCTCCCTAATTATACTTTTACACTTGAATCATTAGAGTTTATGTTCCTTTATTTTCCTCAGTAGGATTTTACTTCCAATTTTAAAGGACACCTCTTTGCCTCTAACTGCCTCTTTTACTCTGTTTAGCCATGGTGGCTTTTTTTTTTTTTTGGAGTGGGGGGTGGTTTCTCTCGGGTTTTTTTGTTTTTTTTCCCCCCAGATATACATACAGTTTGCACCTCTACTCTGATGTTTAAAAAAAAAAATTCCATGCAGCTTGTGACCCCTTAATTTCTGTTTAACTAGCCACCTCATTTTTGTGTTGTTCCCTTTTTTGAAGTTAAATGCTACTGTGGTGGGTTTCTTTGGCATTTTCTTCCCTACAACGACGTTAAGTTTAATTACATTATGGTTGCTGTTACCAAGCGGTTCAGCTGTATTCACTTCTTGGACCAGATCCTGTGCACCACTTAGGACTAAATCAAGAATTGTCTCTCCTCTTGTGGCATCCAGGACTAGCTGCTCCAAGAAGCAGTCATTAATGGTGTCTAGACATTTTATCTCTGCATGCTGTCCTGAGGTGACATGCTCCTCAACAATATGGGGATACTTGAAATCCCCCATTATTATTGGGGTGTTTTGCATTTTTTGTAGCCTCTCTAACCTCCCTGAGCATTTCACAATCACTGGTCAGGTGGTCCGTGGTATATTCCTACTGCTATACTCTTATTGTTCAAGCTATGGATAGAAATTCCAGGAGATTCTATGGTACAGTTTGATTCATTTAAGATTTTTACTATATTTGACTCAGCTTTCTTTCACACATAGTGCCACTCCTCATCAGTGCAACCTACTCCATCATTCCTATACAGCAGAACCTCAGAGTTACGAAACCCAGAGTTACAAACTGACCGGTCAACCACACACCTCATTTGGAACCAGAAGTACACAATCAGGCAGCAGCAGAGACACCGCCCCCCCGTATAAGAAGCAGCAGCAAATACAGTACAGTGTTGTGTTAAACATAAACTACTAAAAAATAAAATTTAATACCAGGCACTCAAGTTCACCCATCTTAGTGTTTAGACTTCTTGCTTTTGTATACAAGCACGTGCAAATCTGGTCAATATTTAGTTGTCTGCCTTCACCGGATATAATTGAATGGGCCTCTTTTTGTCTTGTTTCTTTTCATTTCCTGCCTGTATTTTATCAACTTCTATCCTCTCCTCTTTACTAGGATATAGAATATCCTCTAATAAATCCTCCCTTAAGGGATGTCTCTGTCGGAACCAGATGCTCCTTCGCACCTGTCAGCTTCCCTCAGCCCTTAGTTTAAAAGCTCCTCTACAATCTTTTTAAATTTACATGCCAGAAATCTGGCCACCCACCTACAGCATGTTGCGAAGGAACAACCACTGAGCAGCACAAAACAAGATATAATGTATATGCTGAAGAGTCTTTAGAGTTAGGCGCCTGCTTGTAGCAGTGGAGAGTTGCTTTTTGAAATCCTGTTCAGCTGCCTAGCACTGGGGGCCCTTCACCTACACTAGAGAAGGCACTAGGCTTTTCTTCCCTTCGTCAAAACTCTCCCGGGATGAGGTGACATTCTGGCAAGCCTGGCAGTCTCTCGGCAACAGCAGTTCAAGCATGTGTAGAGCAGGGACACTGCAGGTCAGACGATTATTTTCTACTTCTTATTTTTATTGCAGTAGCATGTAGGAGCCTCAGTCATAGATCTGTGCCCCACTGTGCTAGGCGATGTTCGAACACACGTGAGGTGCACTAGCAGAGCGGTGTGTGTTGGCAGGAAGGAATCGGACTGTTCTAGCCCCCTCTACACCAGTTCTATCTGTTTGTCACTTTCATAAGAAGTGCAGTGCCCCTCAGGAGTTAGCAGCAACTGGTAATAGAAGAACATGGGACGTATTTCAAAATATCATTCAATACATATTATTACATAAAGGACACTGGGCTTTTCAGTCTAGCCCTTTACAGTCCAATACGCGGCTTGTTAATGAACGAAAATACTAGTCTGAAAAGAGGCTGTGCATACCAAGTCAGACTGTCCTTAAGAAGAACTACTCAGTTATTCAACATGTATTAAAATGCCAGGAAATGCTGAAAACACAAGAAGTATATTTGCAAATCAACTAATATAGGAAAGAAAGGGTGTTCAACAACTACTGCAGCAGTGCGTTACCCAGTGTGCCCCAAGACTGTGGCATGGTGTAGTGGTCCTCTTCCTTTCACATCCCTATGGTTTACATTGGCACCATTCTGCAGTAAGAACTCACAAGTAACCAATGAGCCCTAAGGAACAAAGACAAAAGACCAATTCAATGCTTAACCCTTTAGAACCGAGGCCAAATCCTGCCTTTGGAGGATTTGGCCTCAAATATCACATTTAAGTACTGGCAGTGTATATGGTCTCAACCAGGTCAGTAACAGAGAAATGTTCAGAGATAACTTTATGAGAAAGGAAGGTAGGGATATGAGAAAGGAAGGGGGGAGGGATAGCTCAGTGGTTTGAGCATTGGCCTGCTAAACCCAGGGTTGTGAGTTCAATCCTTGAGGGGGCCAGCTAGGGCTCTGGGGCAAAAAAAAATAGTTGGGGATTGGTTCTGCTTTGAGCAGGGGGTTGGACTAGATGACCTCCTGAGGTCCCTTCCAGCCTCAATATTCTATGATTCTAAGGTAATTTTATAGTCAACTTTGGTGCCACTAATCAAATGCCATCATTAGATAGCAAGGCAAATACTTGGCTGTTATCACCTATCCAGAGATATTTCTACTGTTTCCCCCCATGAATCAAGATGCAGTAATTCACATACCCCTAAGACTGCCTGAATCAGTGGTGTCACTTTGTTTTCTTCTGTATTGACCCAGTTTACATCAGCTCCATGGGCCAATGCCTCTGCCATATCAGGAAGGTTCTTCTCATAGGCAGCTCGATAAAGCTGCAGTCCTGGATGAAGCTGTTTCGAATCATGAAACACAGAAGAATCTCGCTTTTCTCCTTCTGAAAGGAAGAAGATTAATTATCTGTAATTCTTGCTCTCAGAAGGTACTGAATACACTTAGAATACAGAAATAGATCACTCCACACAGCAAATCCGGGCCTCTGGCACATGGCAGCTCAGACTTTGCAGAACAGTGTTCTGAGCCACTGAACTATCATGCCATCAGGGGACGTAGATGGCCACAGCTAAGTTCCATCAGCCAAATAAGTCACTTTGTGGTTCCATTCAAAACTACTAACAACCACTAAGTTATTAGTACTTGTGGAACATCGCTCATTAATCTAGCTATTGTATCTGATTTCAGAGAACAAGAATCACAGCCAAGAAATTTTCTTTTCTCCCAAGGTACAACTTGTAAAGGAAACTGAAGAGCTCCAGGGATGCATCCATACAAAAGTCTTAACTAGTAATATACAGAAACTTGCTATTAAGCTAACCCAGTAGAAATAGGTGTCAAAGGAACCACCTAGTGTCAATACAATGCATAAACAAACAGTAATGCGAAGTTTTGAATAGAGAGGTAAGATTGCTCTGAATATGCCAAAAACCCACCCCACACACAGTACCTGGAAGCAGAGTTTGTGTACTCAACCCAGAAAATGGTTGTTGAGCAGATGGCACAAACCAGGATTTGTGCCATGATAGTGAGTCCATGCAATACTGCTTTGTACACACGAGGAGAACTGCATGTGGCTGCCCTGCAACTCCACTGCACAGGAGCTAGTTTAGCAACAGTTGCAGATTTGCCCTCTGGCCAAACATGCATAACAGATCGTTCAAGCTGTAAGCCTAGTTGGGAATAACAGTGAAAAATGATGTCAGACAGCTCTTCAGCATGGCGTGAATAAGGATATTTGTGACAAATTAAAAAGGAAAAAGAAAGCAGACTGTATGCAAGAGATTCCAGACACCTTGGTGCAACCACACTAGTGACCTGGCTATGCTGCTACGGATCCACCAGCCTGACCCAAGGGAACTGCACCAAGATGCACAGATTACAAGGCCAGAAGGGAGCACTGCGATCATCTAGTCTGACCTCCTGCCTAGCACAGGCCAGAGAACCTCCTGCACAATTCCCCGTGCAAACTAGAGTGAATAAAAGGCCTGTCTGGGAAGTCCAGTTGTATTGCCAGCAAGGACAAGAGAGGTGCATGACAGGAAGAAGCAGCCTTGACGTACACCTTGAGGAAGGTTTAAGGGGGTGAAACATCAAGACTCAGAGATGATACTTGGACACAGCCCTTCAGCGCTGACCTATGGAACAAAGAATAGCTACGAAGATGTTGAACCAGGCCAGCTCTGCTCTGAAGCACCATGTTCCAACCCTGAGAACTCAACGTGGCTCAAGGCTCCTTCCCTGAGGCTCTGTGCACCATGCTGGTGTTAACTTACGGGATGCATTGGGGAGGCTTGCCACAAAACAGCATTCACTCCGGGATCTGACTGCAAGAGGCGATCCTACATGCCAATCCAATACAGACACTGGAGGCTATGACCTGTACCTGGGTGACACCGCTCAACTGCTGGGGTCATTCCCCAAGTGTAACAAACCAATGATCAGAACTGAAACGATCTAAAAAAGCCCCAACAAATCAGCAAAAAAGATGCATCACAGACAAACAGCACGTCAAAGTCTCATCACACTGGCTGAGCCTGGCCTCACTCTAGCAGTCAGGCTTGTAAATAAGAGAAAACTAAGTACTCCTCGTTCTTTTTGCTGATACAGACTAACACGGCTACCCTTCTGAAACCTGTCACCATGCAAGGCACTGCATTTAGCCGTATGAAGTGGAAATCCATCAACTTCATGATTTCAACAATTTCCATCCCACCATAAATTTGTTAGTCTCTAAGGTGCCACAAGTATTGGTATTATCTGAGACAGAAAAACATCTTCCAGCTGGATTTAGAAGAATTCAGCTACCTTCCTGCTACCACACTTGAGAGGGAGAATGGATAACAGACAGGGAAAATGGGTGAAAGACGATACTGCTGCTCACTCACAGGAATTATTAGCTATATTAAAATGGCACTTGGAACAGGAAGGGGAAAAGGGGAAAATCTTAGTAATACATCAGTATTTACTGGGACCAGCAAGTCTCAGTCTTCTTTTTGCTAGCATGTTTTTAAGCAGAAAAAGAAATCACTTAAGTCCCGTCTTTAAAGTGCAAGATCAAACGGACCTGGCTCAAACAAACTGTTTGTGGAGATGATGGAGGCGAGGTGTTCTCTACTGTCGTCGGCACTGTGCTGGGTCCCACTGTCATTGCTTCTTACTGTTTTTAGGGGAAAAAGTGTATTAGAGTTCACGCTACCAAGGTACCCACCTCTCACAGACAACATGAAAATAAAGCAAGCTCTTACACTTAGTCCTGAATTCATGACCAGTTATTTTTAAGGGAACAGTGGTAACTAGTCAATATTTCTAATGTATTCAAAGAAATAATCTGAAACTACACTTTTGATCCAGACACTTACAGTGGTTCAAGCTGCAACCATTTTATAAAAAGGAAAGAGGTCAGGATAAGTCAAAAGCTTAAATTATTTCATGGAAACATGAAGCAATGCAATAGCTTGGAGACAATGGACTACAGGTAGGGAGATGGCCACACCACACAATGGACCACGAGTGCAGATGCTGAACCCACCATGAGAGTAGTACTTACTACTACGCAGTTTTGAAGAGGTATCAAAGTAGGAGAAGAGTGAATCTAGCTCATCAGGACAGAACAGAGACTCCCGCCTCACCTCGTCGCTACTTACAGCAACCGCTGGGGACATGCAAGTTAGCAAAGCACAAAGCAGGCAGCAAGGAGGGGAAAGGGCAGGAAGAAGTTATTGGGAAAGTTTAGGAGGATAAAAATAGGGAGGAAAGACTGTGGTTAGTACATTTCTGAATTTAAGATGCTCCTCCCCCTTAAAATCAAACACTCCAGGGCAAGTATTATTTTTCCCCGGAGCCTCTGAAAAAAACTTTGAACAACTGAGACCCAGTTCTGGCTTTTATTTACTGAATTGCTATCTCAGTAAAGAGAATAATACCAGTAACACATTTTAAAAGAACATGCTAATAGATACAAGGATAGAGGGGTGTAAATACCTGTGGGAGAAGCTGTGACTTGTTCACCTGCCAAAGGGGATTTTTCAGGGATGTTGTGCATATTTTCCTCCTGACTTTGAGGCAGAACTTTTGTTCCATGCTCAGGAGGAGATACTGATGCAGGCTGTCTCTCCACAAATTTTCTTTCCACGTATTTTGCTCTGATATAATCCTCTTTCTCCTGCCTGGCATAGACAAACGTCAGTGAAGTTATATTAACGTTACTGAACACAGTAAGTGGTGCACACATTCAGATGAAAGCCATTATCCAAGTATTGCAGTTCAGCCTCTGAGTTATTTGCATGTAAAATAATCTTTTTTTAAGAAATCTGAAGCAATATTTTCCAGCTCTCTGAAATGCAAAATTCTTGAACAGATTTAAAGTTCACTTTCGAAGTAAGCCTGCATCCGTTTCAGCCCAAGAGAAGAGTTTTTGAGAATGTTGAGTGAATGAACAAAAAGTTAAGAAAACCAAATTCAATATTTACAATAGCTTACACTCCCATGATAGAGTGTTATACTTTAGAAACATCTGCGTACTGTATCTTTATAAATGTAACAGCAACCTAATAAAATACTGTCCATTTAGATTTTTATGTAAATATTAATGTTATGCCTGGGAAAGTTAAGAGATTATAAGGACTGGACACGTGAGTGATGAATGATGCTAAGTGAAAAGTAGGCAGCTGCAGCATAACCTACACTGAAATGCTCTCTTCCCTGACCTCAGGGTGCCATCAACAGGTACCCGCAGCATGTGTGGCAGAGACAAACAGGTAATTTTATTTTTCAGCCAGCTTTCAGGCATGAGCTAAGAAAGAGCAATCAAGTACAGGAATAAACTAACGAAAGGGTTGATAAAACCACTATCACTGGAGTTACTAAAGAATAGCTAAGACACTAGTGGGAATGATGTCAAGCATCCTGCAGCAGAGACTTTCTAGCATCCATGCACCACGAGTGATCTGCAAAGCGTGGTGGTCCAGAGCATGAAACTGTGTAAGAACACGCAGCAGGTAACTGTAATTTGGGTTTGGAAGTGTTCTACAAAGAGATCTCTTATAAAGTGGCCCACAGAATGAAAGATTGGAGACCTATTGTTATATATGATTGCGGACAGCTTTTCCCATGCTTCATGGTCAGGAATGAGAGGAGAGAGTGGCAGGATCAGAAATACCTACTTGAAGGTTGTTGAGAAGAAGCTAGAGTGAATGTGTGGTGGAGAATAAAAAAAGAGGACAGAAGGGAAGTATTGTATGGGGCAAGGAACAAAGCAGCACTGAAAAAAGAGGATGAAATTTCCCATGAGACTTCCACTAGTGGTACTTTGCAGAGTGAGAGCGGGAGCAAGAAGAGAGTGAGAGCGAGGAAAGATCCAGGGCTGGTGTTGGTTTTGGCAGCCAGAATGGTGGACGCCAGGAATCAAGAAGCCACGTCTAGGTAAGGTGGAGCTGAAGGCCACAGTCATGGAGTCAGGAGAGGAGGGAGCTCTGAGAAGGAAAGAGAAGGCAAGAGCAGCAGAGAGTCACCGTGCCTGAAGGAAGAGAGTGGGGGAAGGGGACCAGCATTGAATGCAATAAGGTGGCAATGAGAGAGGGAACCCTGACGCGGAGGGCTCAGAAAAGAGCAGTGTTTTGTGAGGAGGAGGTCGGTCATGGAGTGGCAGAGATAGTTGGTAGAGGTGTATTTCATAGCTGCAGGCAAGGAAGTGAGTAGCCCTGGAGTCAGACTATCGTCAGCATAAAATTTGAAGTCACTCAGGTTAAGGGCTGGGACTGAGAAAAGGGGGAAACTAGGGAATCAGCATCAGTGCAGGAGAAAGATGGCCGATGATGGCCTCCTGAAGGAGTAAGACGAGGATCTGGACAGGGGAGGAGGTGGAGAAGAGGCAGGGCAGGGGCGAGGACTTGGGGGAAGGGGGTGGAATGGGGGCGGATGCTTGGGTGGGAAGAGGCAGGGGGTGGACGAGCACCCACCTGGCAGAGGGGAAGTCAGTGCCGTAGGGGGTGAGCGGTGGAGCGGTGAAGAGGCGAGTGGCGGGCAGGGAGGGTGAAGAGGCGAGCGAGCAGCGGGCGGTGGGGGTGAGGAAGCGAGCGGTGGGTGGGGGAGTGAGGAGGGACGCAGCAAGCCTGCAGGGCGCCGGGGGATTAGGAAGGCCGCGGTGGGGGGGGACCTGGGGCGGAGCCTGGGACGAGCGGGGATGGACTGTGGGCGGGGCTGACAGCACCCCAATGTGTCCCGATATTTTAGTGTTGTGATCTGATCACCCTAGAGATAACAGCTATGCCAGGAGAGCTAGGGTCATAACAAATGCTGTCAGCAGCAAAGAGATGGTGGCAGAGAAGGAGCTGAGGGAGAAATTAATGAACATGAGAACTGGTGGGGATGAAGATAAGGTGGAGGAGGCTAAAGTAAGGCTTTGTCTACACTAGTACTTTCGTTGGCAAAACTTTTGTTGGTGAGGGGTATGAAAAAAAACGCACCCCTGACCAACATAAGTTTCACCGACAAAAGCACTGGCGTGGACAGCGCTACGGTGGTGGGACATGCTCTCCCCCGGACACAGCTACTGCCGCTCGTTGAGGGGGGGAGAGGGGGTGTTAATTATGCCAGTGGGAGAGCTCTCGCGCACCAGCATAGAGCAGCTACACGAGAGAGCTCACAGCGGCGCAGCTGCAGTGGTACAGCTGTGGCGCTGTAAGGTCCGTAGTGTAGACATAGCCTAAGGCTGGAGGAGAAAGAATGACAGGATGGGGGAGAGGGGCAGAAGAAGGGGGAAGAGACTGGAGAAAGGGTGAAGGGAGCTAAGTAGAAGCCAAAAGGGAAGATTTGGTGGAGTGCTGATGAGAACACAAAAGCTTTAGCCTCCACCATAAGCAGCTTCTATGAATCAAGTTAGTTTTGAGAATTTCCTGGCAAAAACATGTCAGTGAAAAGCAGACTTTCACTTCCTCGCCCCAGTAAATGCTGGGCTGCTGAATGGCAGCACAGAGAAATAGGCTGTTCCACAGGAGATTGCAGCAATCGTGATGGAAGAGAACCTGAAGCCATTAGGCATTTGACCCTAAGGAGCAATGGTGCAAAATGGGCACAAATCAGCAAGACAGACAAAACTCAGTTATTTGTGCTAAGTGACAATGCAAAGAGTTTAAATGGAGAACATTTATAGCACTAGTTACAGGAAGATCAGTAAAACCAAACTAAATCACTACCTTTGGCTTCCGGGTTGTGGCTTCTTAACTCCCATTCTTTCAACTTTTGCTTCATAGATTCTATTGATGACATCATTCCCCAATTCACACATCAGCTACAAGACAAGAAAATATCAGCACAACTATAAAAGGCGTTAACTCTCTGAGTGATATTCATGCCTCGCCCATCCCTGCAGTGTTTGGGCCTCTTGAGAACTTTCATTTACAATAGTTTGTTAACAAACCTTGTAAGGGCAGGGCTAATGACTTTTACTCCAATGTATTTTTAGGAAATAAGTTACAAAGAAGTATTTTAAAAATGGTGAATAAGAGAACAGACTTCCAAATGAGGTGATGAAAAAATGGTTTGGGCTGGTAAATGGCAAGTACCAAAAAAGCACTAGCAGCAGGTTAAAGTGTGATTGTAGTCTGAAAAGTGATTATGTAAAAATCATCCTCCTTTTATTCACTCAGCCATACCTGCACACTTGATTCACAAAAATACCTTTGACTGAATATACTCCTCTTAGTCCTGCAGAGCCTGCACACGTAAGAGGCAATGCACTGAGTTCTAGTCCATCTCATACATCAACAGAATCACTTACACCTGTACAAACCCTGGCTGGTACAGAGGCTGCACAGGTGTCATTGCAAGCAGAATTTCCCTTGCTGAACTGTTATTGGCAGTGGTGTGCCAGAAGGAAAGAACGCAGCTTGACTCAGACCTAGACAGACATTGCTAACCTGGCTTTTAAAGGGGCGGGAAGTGTTTAATTGTAAAATGAACACATTTGAGGTGGAAATCCACGACACAAACACGATGAAATCCGCACCCTCATCCCTGCTGCCATTTTTACAGGGTATTTTTTAGGAGTAGAAAAGCAGTAAGGCCCAATAACTTGTGAACCATCCTAGCTAGAAACAAGCGCTTTGGACCAGCTATCCAACTGCACAAATGTATAAAACATTTTTTCTATTCATCACGTGACACTGGATCTTAATCACACCATTCTGATAAATATGTACATACACATAACTCTCCCCTTCGCTCCCCCCCACGAGCGCACACGAAATCTGAAGCAATTGTAGTAATGTCTTGAACATCAATATTCTATACCAAGCGAAGTCTTGGAATCCCTTTTTTCAAATGGTGTTGGGTTTGTAACTCACATTTCATTAGCTATTGTGCTTAAATCAGGTTGAAAATGCTGTGAATAAAAATATGATAATCCTCTTTCACTTTCCAAGGCTACCTAGCCCACTACTCATTGTTCCGTGCCAACAGTCATTTCCAAGCCCTAGCTCTAGACCAACAATTAGACAAAAAATTCAATTCCTGCTACAAACTATTACTATCATTTTTAGAAATTCTTTTCTCATAAAGGATGACCATACCTTTAGAAGTTCAGGCTCCCATGTATCTAGTGTTAAGGATCTAACTTTTGAAAAGTGGACTCCTAGACTCCTAAACAGAAAAAAAAGCCTCCTGTTAATACATAGCTACTGTATGCCAACATACTGTCTTATGTTAGGCAGGCTTACTAGTCCCTCTTGCAGATCAAACTGTTCTATCTGCATGCAGGGGTCTCTAATCTTGCCTCCCAGGTTACAAGATGGAAAAACCCCTCAGGATGAAGTAATGCTTTGGCCATGCTGCATGTCTGAAGGGTTTACCTACCTGTGTATCCCAGAACACTCAATACACAGTGTGATTCCTAGGTTGATACTGGCCCAACGAGGATCTGCCAGGCCACAGTCACAACAGGCGATGTTACCACCAATACATTGAACCCGCTGTAGAGCACTTTCTCCTTTTAACAACTTCTCTTTTGACTCACTGCCAGATTCCAGGCTTCCTGTAGAAGGGGAAGATTTCTTCTCTAGTTTCTAGAAAGAGGCAAAAAAAGGAAGAACTAGAGGCACAGCAGTTGACTTTGCTATGGCCCTGGAGGAAGCTTCCACATTTATCAATAACCATTTTATTGCTAGACAATTGAAAGGAAAGATGTGTAACTGCAAAACATCCTTAACTTCTCGGTAGAAACCTGGGGCTTAAACATAGCAGTACCCAGTTGTGCTGGACATTTCAATCACAGCTATAAAAATGGACGTTACTTACCTGTCACTGTAGGTTCTTCGAGACGTGTGGTCCCTGGCTGTATCCCACATGCACGCGCACCAGGCACCTGAGATCAGAAAAGCTTGCAAGCAGCGTCTGCTGGTCTGTGCCTGTGCCCTGGAGCGCCTTGTGCTCAGCACCAAGGGTTAGAATGGGAGCTGTGGACCACTTGCCTCTCCAGTTCCTTCACTACCGTGAATCCAATCCAAAGCAGAGAGGACAGTGGGCAGGTGGTGGAATACAGATAGGGATTACGTAGCTCAAAGAACCACCAGTTACAAATACCAACCTCCATTTCTTCTTGGAGTGCTTATCCTTGTGTAGTCCACACATGGGTGGCTGGTAAGCAAGAGTCAAATAGCAGGGGAGCACAAGGATGCAGGTGGTACAGATGTCCATAACAAATGTTCCAAAAGCTGCATCTGCAGAAGAGGCTTGGACTAAAGTGTAATGCTTCACGAAAGTGTGGCTGGAACACCAGGTTGCCACCTTACAAATATCATCCATAGGTGCTTATCAAAGAGTTGCTTCTGAGGTTGCTTGTGCTCTAGTGGAATGGGCCTTTACACCGTCCTGGGGGGGAGATGCACGGACAGTAAAGGAGGATAGAAATCCACAGAGACAGTCTCTGAACAGATATTACTTGTCCATGTGTTCACTCTGCTATAGCAACAAATAGTCAAGGCATTTTTCTAATTGGTTTCATTCTTTGTAGGCAGAATGCCAAAGCTCATTTGACGTGGTGAGAGTGAAGCCTCCTCTCCTCACTGGCGTTATGAGCCTTTGGAAAGAATACTGGTAAGTTAATTGACCTGATTTATGTGGAACCCGGAAATTACCTTAGGGATGAATTTTGGGTTGAGGCAAAGGGATACCTTTTCTTTACGACAAGTTCCATATGGTAGGTTGGCCATGATGTCCCTAGCTCACTCACCATCCTGGCTGATGTGAGGCAACCTTTGCGAATAGGTGGGACATCGAGCACATGGCCAGCGGTTGAAAGGGCGGCTTAGTAAGTATTGAGAGTACAAGACAGAGGTCCCAGTTAGCTGTTGGCTTCACTTCTGGTGGGAAGGCCCTAGTGAGACCCTTCAGGAATCTGATTGTTATGGGGTGAGTCAAAATAGAATAGACCTCGACCCGAGGATGCAAGGCACTGATTGCTGTTAGGTGGACCTGCAGCACGCTAATAGGAAGGCCCAACTTCTCAAGAGTGAGGAGGTATTCTAGAACAACAGGAATACCTAGTGTCTCTGGAGATAAATGATTTTGTTCTGCCTCCATTTAGCAAGATAGCATTTTCTGGTGGAGTATTGTCTGCTGTGATTAAGAATAGTTTGATGAACAGCCTCCGAACATGAACGCTCTAGGTCTGATCCCCTTACAGATACCAGGCCGTGAGGTGGAAACAGTATGGGCTGGGATGTATGGTCCTGCCATTCTCTAGTGATGGATCCAGGAAGGGTCGAATGGTGGATGGGTAGACATTCACAGGAGGTCTGGAAATCAGAATAGCCTGGGCCAGTTGAATGCAATAAGAATGACTTGCCCTTTGTCATGATGAATCTCCCATAGAACCTACAGCAGCAGCAAAATAGGGGAAAAAACTCAAGTGGTCTATCCAGGATTGTAGAAGGGCATCGCTCTTGGAGTCCCGACCCAGTGCTGCTCTAGAGCGGTATATGTTGAACTCCTTGTACATCAGAGGTGAATGGGTCCCAAGATGGAGTTCCCCACTGAATGAAGATTTTGTTTAGCACTGAATTGTGTATTTCCCACTCAGGGTCAGTGGAGTAGCTCTTTTGCCTTGAAGTTGATTCCTTTTCTGACGTGGATACGTCCCTCAGAAGGACTGGACCCAAAAACCCAGGTGATTATGGGTATGGGAGGGCGAAGATATCCTTCAGGGACGTATAAGCCTCAGTCCATAAAACTCCAGCTCCACCTTACAGTAGTACAGTGAGCAATCAGACAGGGAGAGGCACCTCCTAGCCAGTCATTGACACCAAACCAACTTCAAGTACGGATTCATTGTCCATCCCAAGAAAGGACAATGGTGGACCACTGAAGGTAATGGAAAGACATTGAGACATCCTGGCTCTCAAATCAAGAGGGGGTCTTCACATTCTGCATGACCATGAGTCACCATGTACTAAGAGAAAAAAAAGAAAAGTCTTGTAAAAGTAGGCATGTATCTGAGGGTTGGCCTCCAGAAACTGAGGAGCAGTCTAAGCCGGAAGCTGTCTGTGAACACTTGATCCCCAAACTAGGGGGATACATGGGAAACCGTCCAAAGGCAATAGGTAACTCGTATTAAAAAAGGGATTTTATCTAATACAGAACAAAGCCTGATGTTGCGTTCATGTTTATTTTGTGTGTAACTTGACTGTTTGCTTTCCCTCACTATTTCAGCTTTGAATCTGTTTTTCTGTTAAGTAAACCTTTTGTTTACTTTTCCTCCCAAGCAGCAAACTGTGTGGCATGTGGATGCCAAAGTGAGTGGATGGCCGAGGGGCTGACGGAGGGGAACAGTCTGAGCATAAGGTACCTAAGAACTCGGAAAGGACGAACCTGGGCAGACTCGGAACTGGAAGGGCTGTTGGGGTTACCCTACAAGAAGTACCTGGGCTTGTAGGAAGGTGTCGCCACTGAGCCTAGTGGTTGAAATGAAAGATTAGAGCTAGGTCCAGGGTGGACAGAGTTCAGGAACAGGCCAAGGGTCCGTACCGGAGGGACAGAAGCTGAATGCCAGAGCCGGAGGGTCAACCAGAGTCATCGGGAAGAAGTGGAGCAGAGGACTGAAGCCAGAAGGGAACGGGGCTGGAGCAGAGCTGGCACAAGGGCAAGCACAGCTGCAGGACTGGTACGCACTGAGCATCCGCTCCTCTGCTATAGGGGCCAGACTTATAGGCATGGCTGGTAAATCAGCAGCTGGTAAATCAGGGGCTGTGGTTACTCTGTCAGTTCCAAGGCACTGCAGCTCGGCTCACTGGTTGCTTAGTCAGGGAGGAGGCCAGCAGCTAGTCCAGCGTCAGGGATGTGAGCCACAGCAGAACAGCATGAAGGCACCCGAGGTTACAGGGCAGATGGCGATAGAACCCCTTACTGCTCTTGGTGATCTCCAAAACGTCACACTTGCTCCTGTGCACCTTACCCTGGGAAGTTTAAGTGGGGCTAAGTCTTCAGGACATGGCCTGGATCCAACTGAGGTCTCATCGCTTTTTCCATTAGGTATTTCCTCAGTCGAAGCTCTCATCCCTCTCAGGTCCAGGGAGGAAAGGGCAGAGAAACGTGCCTCCCTGAGGCTGTAAAGATAGCGCTGATGGTCATTGCTGACCAAGAAGCAGCAAGGACAAGAGAGTTCTTGAACCCTGGGCATAGTTCTCCTCCCAAGAGGGGAAATGGAGAGGGTCCCTCGTGCAGGGAAAAACTGATCTACACTAACTATAAAGAGACTACCAAATACACTAGACTAAGAACTAGATGCAATTATATTTATAGGTAAGGAAGAGTGCAAAGTTATCTTCAGACACAGGAGATTCCGACTCAGGCCACGTGATGGTAAGGAGGAACTGCAGAGGCAGGTGGTTCGTACTTCCCCTTATACCCTGGACGCAGGCATGGACCAGGGCTCGGGCATGGACCAACAGACACTACTTGAAAGGTTTCTGAGTCGCAAGCACTTGATGCACATGCATGTCACATGTGGAATACACACAGGGATGAACACGGTTAATCCCCCTACAGTAAGGTGGATTAAAAAAATCAGTATTTGAAATTTTATTTTTAAAAATAGGATTTTATTTAAATATAGGTTTATTTTTAAAAAATGAAATCATTTACATTTGAAACTTTGACAACCTGTGTTAAGGACTAACCTTAGTATAATCTATTAAAATCAGATACACTAAACAATAGTAAGCAGTACATGTTTGCTGCCAAGTTTCAAAGAAAGTCAAGCCACTGCACTGGTGGAAGTCACTGGCTAAGCACCTGCACCCAGAATTTGCTGAAGTGCTAAATCAGCTTATGATAGCAGTAACCTTTTTTTACAGGTACACAGAGAATATTTTCTTAATTTCAGTTTATTAAACTAGTTCAGTTCAAAAACTAGTTCATTCATAGTTAAGAAACAGCAGGAAAGCTTGTTGTCCTCTCCCAATCTATAAAACAACAATTGGGTGTTAGAGGATGAAAGCTACTAGTTCTAAAATCTTGAAGGACATGGTGACCAAAAAAAATTAGCTCAATTCACTAATTGATAATACTTTTGTTTAATAAATCAGTTAGTTTTAAATGCAAGACATGTTTTTTATAACCATTTTTCCCTTATGCATACAGCTCATTTTATTTAACTAATAAACAAGTTGAAATGTTCGTGCATTTTAATTGTTTGAATTTCCATCCAAATACAACTTGACACAAATCACAAGTTAAAAAATTATTAATTTTACTAAATAAGAAATGCATCATTCACCACTTTCTAACATAAAAATGTAAAAAATAATACTCTGAATAAATGTAAGTTAAGCTATAACTGCTTAAATAAACGTGTGCAGATAATAGTGTATCCTCCTAGTCACAATAATTGGGTAAAGACTATATTTAGTTACAAATTAACATGTTTTAATAGTTATCAATCAATGAGAATCAATCTTTCTGTAGAAAAATACCTAAAAAATACAAATGCAAAACAAGATTAAAATTGATGACAGTCTCCTGCTTGCTGATTTAAATAATTATTAAAAATCAGTTATTTAAAAAGTGACTTAAAATCAATCCACCTTGCTTCATTTACATTGGTAAGTTTGTCTTGTGGACAGTTTCCTGCTCTGAAGCAAGATGTCAAGGACTGCCAGCAAACTCCTCCTCCTGGTGGACATCAGCCAGCCAGTATCCAGGCTGTGAGGTTCAGTTACTCCGGGTTCAGGTGTAGGACTTGACTGTTATTCTGAGAGAGCAGGCGAGGCAGACTCAGTGAGGTGACTGGCCTCTGAACTGACAGTCTCATCAGCTAGGAGTACCAGAAGTGTCTGGCCCAAGCGGAGGCTACCAGGAGACTGTCCCTGAATCCTGCCTGAAGTTTCACAGGACCCTGGAGAAAAGCATATATGAGGTCTGGAGACCAAGAGATGAGGAAAGCACCTGTGAGGGATCCCAGACTCCGCCTCCTCTGGAGCAGAGCCTCTGGCATTTGACATTGTGGCACATCACAAACAAGGCTATTGTTGGGTAGCCTCATCGGCAAAAGACTGTCTGGAGGGCTGAGGGGCCACTCGTGGCTCTTGGAGAGTTTCTGCTGAGCTGGCCCACCAAGGTGTTCCTCAGGCCTGGGAGATGGAGAGCTACTGGGTGACTGGTGCCAAAAACTCCATAACCACAGACTCATGGCTTCTTGGCACAAGGGGGAGGATAGGGCCTTCCTTGCCTGTTGATGTAGTGCATCACCATGGTATTGTATGTAAGCACTTGCATAGGGAGACCCTAAAAGAGAGGTAAGAATACTCTGCATGCCAACTGAATTATTCGGAGTTCCAACACACTGATATGAAGAAATGACATGAGAGCCAACCACGTCCCCTGAATCTGGAGTTGGTCCAAGTGTGCTCCCCACCTACAGGTGAAGGCATTCGTGATCAGATTCATTTAAGGGAGGGATGCAGACAATGGAGCTCCTGTGCACTCCTGGTCTGGGTGTACCCACTAGTCTCATGAAGAAAGGCCCTCTGTGGAGAGGAATCCACATGTCCATACAGTCTCTCTTGGGTTAATACACAGATCTTAACCACGCGTTGAGGTTTAGCAAGCTGCACGTCATACATACATGACATGTGCCCCAGAAACTTCAGGCAGATTTTCACTTGCATTACCGGATGCACATAAAATTGTCATACGTCTGTCACTGTTTGAGGTCTGTGCTGTGGCAGGTATGCTTTTGCCAACTAGCAATCTATCACTGCTCCTATGAATTCTGTATATTACATCAGAGTCAGTGTGGATGTTGTGGCACTACGCCCCATATTCTTCATAGAGATATGCTTATGATATGAATATGGCATAATTAAGATATGTTTTATGCACGATGCGTCATGTAAGGTATCATTGGAAAGGTTATGATTTACTGAATGTGATTATTCAATTTGTATGCATGTATCATTTCTGTCTCTGAAGTTAGGAATATAGACTATGTATCAATTACAAAAAGTGTTTGCACGGGGAATGCCCACGAGACTGGCTGGTTAGTCAATGAGCCATTAGGGAGGACAATAGGACTTTGAAGATGCTAATCTCTCACCTTCCTGAGATGCTGCTTTGACACTGCAGGGTCATGTGGTTATGTCACCTGGTACTGGAGCCCATCTTGGCCTGCGAGTATTTTTCCACAGAAAGGGTGGAGACCAAACTTGGAAACAAAGGATTCCCACCATATGTAAGTTTGGTAGGAAGCAGGGTCCCCGTTTTACCCCTGGGAAGAAGGAGGGTGGATGGGAGGGTAGGTGCTCACCTCCCTAAGTAATTCCTCCAGTCCTCGTCCCAAATCTCCTGTAAAAACCAGAAGAGCCCAGAAGGTGCTATCACTGTAATTCCACTGAGCACCTGAGGAATAAATGCCCTGTGCTGAGTGGGAACAAGCAGCAAGCAACTCATGGAAATACTGCTACCCAGAGCACAGAGGCACCTCAGGCAATTGACACTTATCACACAGGGTTTGTAAAAATAGCAACTGCACAGCCTGGCAAGAACCACATAAAGGCTGTCAGAGTAAATGGAAAAGAACTCCCTGGGTGGAAGGATTCTGGCGCAGAAATTTCTGTGGTCAGGAGAGACCTTGTCCAGGAGGAAGACATACTGCCAGGACAGATGGCAGAGCTTTTGTTAGTAGGGGGTCACAAAATTCTTTGGCTAAAGTGCACATGGAAATTGAGAATTTGCAAGCTGAATTAACAGTTGCTGCTGTTCCCCATAACCCAACCCAAATATTATTGGGGAAGGACTTTTTTTAATGTGGCTCAGGCTGTCCAGACCAAAGGGTAGGGTCCTGTACTGAGAGCAGGATGTTCGTACCATGAACCGCAGGAATTGTTTATATTCCAGGACTATTTAGATGTGGAAATAAGCATCCTGTAGGTCAAGAGCTGCAAACCAGTCCATGGGATCCAATGAGGGTTGATGGAGGCTAAGGTGACCATCCAGAACTTGAAACATCAATGGAGGCATTCAGACATCACAGATCTAGGATGGGTCTCCACCCAGCATTCCTCTTTGGGATCAAGTAGTAGTGGGAGTAGAAGCATTTTCCTCTGAATTCTTGAGGAACTTCCCCTACAGCTCCCAGTTGTAGTAGGGAGCCGACTTCTAGTTGTAGAAGTGCCTCATTAGAAGAGTTCCTGAAGAGGGACGGGAGGTGGAGGATGGGTGTGGGCGAGGTGAACAGTTTGAAACTGGGTGAGAACCTTTCTTCACAACCTCTGGGGCCCACCAGTCCAAGGTCATGCTAACTCAGATTTCTTTGAAACAATAAAGGCGGATGCCAAACAGAAACCAAGGGGGGTGGATCCACAGATGATTTAGCTGCGTTCTCAAGTGTCCCATCCAAACTGCTTCCTTGGTGTTTGTCCCTGCTGCAGGGCTATCGAGGATGAGACTGATGAGCACTGCTGATGGCACCACTGACATTTCCTCAGTAGTTCTGAGGGACATTGTTGGAATTGTTGCTAGGACTGGTATCTGAATGAGGACCAAGATCTCGGTAGTTGTTGGTATTGTTTACCCCTGGGCTCTGGGACACATGCTGGTGCTCTGCAAGGTGGTTGAGGCCACTTCGCCCCTTATTCTCTCATCTACAGTGGGAGCAGAACCACACCTGTGCCCTGGGAGCCCTCAACAGACACGGTCATTCAAAATAACCCAATCTGTGCACATGCACTCCAACACTGAAATCTGTATAGATAATCACTCAAAGAAGTTATTGATTCAAAACATAATGGTCAAAATAACCTTAATTAGATGAAAAGTTAATTCAGTAGACACAGATCAGAGACCTTACAAAAATAATTAAATTTCTTCTACAATTCTCACGAAGAAAAAAGGATCAGAAATGGTTTACTGTATTATTGGATCTTGAAAGGTAAATATACTTGCCTCGGATTCATCCCCCTTCTCTCTATATGCTGTAGCAATACTGGTCTGAACAGCCTTAATCCATGCCTGCCGCAGCTTTTCAGAATCAGCCTGGAGCATGCAGCTTCTGTGAGAAATAAGACACAGATTTTAAGATTCAAGCAAACTGACCAATTGGCTCAAAAAAGAGACTCACTCATTAGAAGCCAGACTCTTAAGCAAGTTTTATGTTAGGAACTTCAGCGCATCCTTGTATTCATACTACACCACACAGTTACTATTATTGTTAACAGCTGATATGTGCTTGACCCTTCACAAACACAGAATGAAGACGTTCCCTGCCTCAAAATACTCAAATCTAACAGCCTAAGAAACCCAAAGGATGGTTTAATTTGCTGTTTAATTTCCATGTGGTTATCCTGAAGTTTCTGCTTTGCATCCTCACCTCCCATTTACCTGTATGACTGACTAAATAGGACATGGACATCAGTCCTCGAAAAGGCACAGAGTTCTGACGTCTAACATACGAGACTGAATTCAAAGGCAGGAAACTTCAGGGATTTAAAGAGGAGGAAAAACTGCTGCCCACACTAACATTCAGAGAAAACAAGTCATCAAATGTCAAACTGAAGGGTTGAGAAAGTGTAGGTAGGCAGAAGCCAAATAAAGGTAGAATTTGGCCACAGGATAGGGGGAGAAAGAGCAGAAAACAGACAAATTTTAAGATGGAGAAGAGAAAAAACACACACAGAGCCCCGCAAGAGCAGCTGGCCTTGTACCACAGGACACTAAACTGACATGAATGTCCAGTTCTTGCACATGCAGAGCTGCCTTTGCTCTCTAAACACACTAGGCAGTATTTTATACTGCATGGTGCTGCTTGGGCTACTACTGACTTTTTAAAAATTCAGTATTTTCCTTTTATTCAGTGGGAACGGAAGTGTAATTGACTATTGTAGAAGCAGCTATTACATCTATGCTGTGCTTTATTCCTGAATTTAGAAATTATCTGAAGTAACTGGAAGCCATTTTCTGTACTATTAAGAAGCAGCCTGACAGTACTGCCCGCAACTGATCCATTTAGCAGCAATCTGTCTACCAACTGTCCTACTGTATAAAGAGCGCCAGGATGCATATTTATTACAAGTGCAAAAAGCAGACTGAATAGTCACTACTGCTGCCCAGAAATATCACATGCTCCAGGTCCAAGAATTTAGAGAACAAATCGATTGAGATTCTTTTCCCATTGTGACCGCTCCCAAAACATAGAATCATAGGATTGGAAGAGACTTCAAAAGGTCCTCTAGTCCAGAACCCTACATGGCCTTCTTGAGTTCCAAGTCTGAAACTGAAATGTAAAACTTGTGTTATATATGAACTTTAAAAAAAATTACCCCTTACTTTGTTGGAGAGACTACCTCGAAGCAGAAACGTCTTTCTATGTCTTCGCAATGCTTAACTGTGCAAAGCCGCAAGTCTTCAACGACTACTGTGGGATTATCCTAGAAAGAGGTAAAATGAACAAAACAACTCAAGTTTATGGTGACGGGAGAAACTTACTGAAGCCAATGCTAGTCTCAACTGCTTTCCAATTTTTCCCTTTCATCAAAACAGATTGCATGTGATATCCATAGTAGGAGTTAAACATTAATGTGTATGAAAATTTAATATAGACTTGGGAGAACACCCCTTTTCCTATAAAAATAGACTGATTGACAGCTGACATTTAAACAGCAGAGTGGCTCAACTGAATACCACTGTTTTTTCTGAGAAGAGCATAATTAGCTTGCAAATCAGACGGAGAAGGGTCACAATTAAATGTGCCCACATTTCACTGCAAGTGCAAAATCAAATGCTAGGTTGAAGCTGCTTTAAAAATTTGGTCCATAAAAAAAACAACAAAATCCTTAAACTAGCATCAAAGTATAATATTTGTTAAGGGTTCTACAGTGTGATTGTGGTACAACAATAATAATACCGCTCACAAAACATTATCATGAAGCAGTTAGGATTGCCACACACTCCCATACCTAACAAACCCCCAAAGGGAAAAAAGAAAAAAAGTTAAGCCACCTAATCAGTACATTCATTCTTCCTGTCCACCCACAAGCATATATCCAATCATTACCAGAGCCACCTTACACAACACACCACGCACCACGCCTAGCTACTGGCCACAAGACACTGGACCAGATGGACCTCTGTTCTGATCCACTATGACAATTTCTAACATTAACTCTGCCCCCTCCGCCCCCCACCACTTCTGCCCTTCTGCACACAATCCTTTATTAGACTCTTCTCCCCCAACACTAGTAATTGTGAGTGTTTGGTTTAGAAGTTAGTTGTGTGGGGAACGGAGAATTTGGTACAGGCATATTTGCTGAAGGGAATGAAGAAGGTTGTCCTCCCTGGGCTGCAGGTGGTGCAGAGTTAAGGATGCTCTGCATGATCTGTGGTATTTCGTAGCTGTGAAAATAGTAAGGTGTGTGCTTGTGGGTAGAAGAAAAGAGGGTGTATTTTATATATATATATATATATATATAAAAATGTAGCTTAACTTTTCATAGCCTTGCTTTTGTGGGTTTGTGTCAGGCGGTTTGTGTGTAGCAACCCCAAGTGCTTCACAACAAAGCTTTCCAAGTATTCCTTTCCTAGAATTTGTTTTAATTAGGGGTGGGAGGTGGATAAGTAGGCAGGGAGCAGACCAGTAGGGGTGGAAACATAGCTGTTGATGGCGCATCATAGAATACTTTGTCCAGCAGCAGCTGCACATAGCTTCCCTTGTAGGATAAAATCTGACCAAAGTGTAGCTTTTGACAGAGAAATTTGTATGTGGACCTGCCCACCTGCACCTCCCAATCAAACAAACAGGACTGCATGTTCCTGGCCCCAACCAGGTTTGTGTGCGCACACAAACATTTTCAATTATAAGAAGAAGATTACTTAAAAAACAAAACTACCTATTGCACCAGATTTGCCCAGGTGCCACATCTCTCTCAAGTTCTATGAATTCAGACGATGGTTTTAAAAGTGGTATCAGCCAACAATGAAAAGTAAAACTGCCACTGACAAATTTAAACTAAAGCCCAAATTAAAAGTCTTCCTATTACAAATTTCTGAATGAAAGTGAAACAAAAACTGCATAGAAAATTCAAAGGGCATAAAAACTAATCCTATAGGAAATTTAACAGTGGCCAGCAGCCTACTTTAGAGAAAAAGAGGCGTTTGTGCTCATTTTAGAATGCGGCCCTACCCGTGGAATCACTATCAGGAGCCTCAATGATGACAATGCGCACTTACGAATCACCTATCACTCAGGGATCTCAAAGATTTACGAAGCTGATATTGCCCCATTTTATAGGCGGGGAAACGGAGACAGAGAAATTAAGTGGGTTGCTCAAGGTCATGTTGCAAGTGAGTGGCAGCATCTCTCAACTTTCATTCCTCTGCTCTAATCAACAGACCCCCTAATTCCCATTAATCACATTCTTGGGTATTGGAAGTACAGTACCTACCTTAAATTTTTTCTGGTAAACAAGCTGATTATTCTGTATCGAAAACCAGCGTCTATATAAATAAAAAGACATCCAAACATTTAACTGATTTCACAGTGCTTACTGGTTGTAACAGATGAACATAGTATCTATGGAATCACACTGAATAAAAGAGTTCACAAAAGTTATGTCTCTAAGTCTTGACAAGTTTGCACAACGATGGTCTTTCATCAAAACAATGACAAAAGGAAAAACAAAGACAAAAGAAAAGAAATTAAGCAAGATTCACGTAAGTTAAATCTTACACAAGTGCATGCACATTATCACTATGTTAGTTAAGCTATTCATTCCAAAACGTTTACATTCCAATGTATGGTCATGTCTATATTTTTATGACAAGCAAAATTGATAAATAATTTAAAACATCTATTTTAGTTTGTTTACCAATAACACAAACTATGAAGTGGCTAGAAGCTGAGAGGTTAGACATTCAGACTGAAATCAAGGCATGAATTTTTAACAGAGGTAATTAAGCACTGGAACAATATACCAAGGGTTCTGATGGACTTTCCATTATTGGCAAAATTTAAAATCAAGATTCGACGTGTCTCTAAAAGATCTGCTTTAGTTCAAACAGGGAATTATTTCAGGGAAGTTTCAGGAACTGTGTTATGCAGGAGGTTGGACTAGGTGATCACTGCAGTCACTTCCAGCCTTAGAATCTACGAATTCCTCACTCAAATATTTTTGAGAGAGAAGTTTTAGAAAGTAACTTATGAAGTTGCTAAAACTACTGCAGTGTTGCCACCTCTTGCGATATATTGCAAGTTTTCTAGTATTTGGTGTTTCTTAAAGCCCTAGATGCTAGAATCAAGAGACTGCATGAGAATCAACTTTTTTTTTTTTTTTTTTTTTTAAAAAGCGAGTTTCTAGACCCCGTTTTTGGAGAGAGAAGCTTGAAAACATGAAGCAAATGCACCCTGCAGGCTCAAATACCAGAAGGCAAATAAAAAGACTCCCAAAATTGCCAATCTTATTTTTGGGGCCCTGACTCAGGGTTTTTGAATGCTTGGGGTTGGAAATCCTGCTATTATTCTGGAAAAGACTCTGCATAAGGACCCTGGTCCAAAACATCTGATTCATCATCAGATCAGGCTACCATACATGAACCATGACAAATATAACTGATTAACTGCCACTCTATTTCCTTGGGATGCAATCACAAAACTGGAATACTGAGTAACTGGCTAAAGATTATAGAAAAAACTAAAAACAAAACTAATTCAGTACTACAGTCAAAGCTGGGATACTTCTTTGATCAAGGTTTATTTTAATACAAGCCTGTGTTTTATATCTTATGTTAAAGTGGTTATCACAAACATACTCATACAGTATGTCACTTATTTTGTGCTGCCTGTTAAGATGAGGAACAATGTTATGTAAAGTGACATCAAAACATTGTCACATTATCCATGAAATTCTTTAATACTCAACTCTACTTCACTACAAATAGTAACAAAACGCCCCTATTTATTCAACCACCACAAGCACAAAAAATACTTAAGGAAGAACAAAAGGGGAAATAAGGTGTAAAAAGAATTAGACTCATGCCAGGAAATTTTTATTGTAAAACAGTTAGTACTTAGCCTGTAGAAAGTTGAGATTCTACCTTTTAACAATTATATTTCCAAATGTTGTAGGAATATATTTAGTTTCAAAAAGCAAGATCTCCATATATAAAATAAAGGTTAATTCTAAATGTGATTGAAATACTTAGATCAAATATGGAAAGGATTTTTTCAAGTTATTAACTACAGTATATTTCAGTCACTGCAATTTAAAAGGTATCACCTTTACCATCTAAAAGGAATGTATTAATCAAACATGTAACCCAATCATTATGTAGATTATTTCTAAGTAAAGAAATGGATAATTCAGCTACAAAGCAGGCTGAAAAAGGAAGATAAGCAAAGAATAAGTCTGAGTTTTTGTACATACAACCAGTTAGAGACATGAAAAGCAACCCCTACAAAGCAAAGGAAAGTGCAGCCCTGCCACAAGAGATAACATGCAATGGAGCAAATCTCTAAGAATCACTGTTAAATAAGTGTGGTGAGTTTTATGAATCCAACACACTCCACTTGTACAGTTAACATTTAGTGAATCTCCACAGTGAACAAACTCCAATCTGGCAACCATGGTATATCTGACAGTATAAATGTACAGTATGTTATGACACTTCTGAGGCCTTTTCGTGGAGGTTTTCACACTGCTCTACCAACCTTTTACAAAAAGAAGTCAAATTAAAGAAGCCCACTCATTTAAATTTTTAGAGATGGGGGAAAAATTTCACCGAAAATGTAACCCTTTATTTGGTATAGTATATGCTACAACGAATACTCATTAACTTCTGGCTTTACTTTAGCCACAGATCTATGCCAAATGTGTGAGTGAATGCATTAGTATCACAGCATTTTTTGAAAAGTGACAGCTACAAAATACAGTGCATTAAGGTCACTCATAGCACCACAGTGATTTCATTATTAAGGATTATCAAGATTTTTTTTAGGCCAAAATTTGGGCCTATCTTAAAATGGTTAGATCCCATTAGGGAAGTTCTCTGGTTTCTAATCCACACAGAGAAGGGCATGGTCCAAAGACAAAACAGACTCGCACCTCATGCCACTGTTCCTACATTATTTGGATGCAAGGTCCCTACTGTGTCCCTGGTTTGGAGACTAGCTGTATTGTAATTTCTAATGGTGTTTTAAACACACCATTCTATTACCAGAAAATAGGGGGGAAGGGACATTTTGTGGGGGGCATAAAAAAAGTAGTTTTGTTCCTGCTGGCTCTCTAGTAGCGCATAACTAAAATGATGCTGCTCCACAAGGCAGATATTTTGACATTAAATGCTTCTATATCATTCAAAGTAGCTGTTAAACAAAACGGCTAATTTCACTTCAACTTTATCCAAAAGAAAGGAAAAATAAAATCAACATTTGCCAGTGAAAAAAGAACAAAAATCAGCAAAGAGTGTTTTCAAATTTCTAAGAACTACAAGAGAGAGAAATAGAGCAATGAGAAGAAAATTTTAAAAATGACGTTAGTGTCTTTACTAGAAACTTAAATCAGCTTTAACAACTTTCAAGAGGGAGTAATTTTGTTTGACAAGCATGCAGCTGACTGAATCATCTAGGCCCAGAGAATTAAACAGAATGATTAAAAGAGAAACACTTGAAGTCCCAATCCTGCTCCCAGGGAAGTCAGTAGCAAAATGCCCATTGACTTAAATGGGAGCAAGATAACACTTTTAACGTATATTCTGGAAAAGTCTGACAGTGGAGACTAAGTTTTTGGGGGGGAGGGGTGTTTTAAGCTCCTCTGACTATAAATGCATCAAACCTTCTTATCAATTTAAAAGGTGTTGAGCAGCACGTGTGCTCTCAATTCATGCAAAATCCCTGTTTTCTTAAACAGACACTTTATATCCATTGCAAGTAATCAAAATGAAATGCAGGGTTAATGATGAGGTTTTAGGTGCCAAAGAACATTGGGAAGGTATAAGAAGCTGACTGGTACCTGAGGTGATCTGGCTTTTTCCTGTCATGTGAAAAAATGGGGTAGGGTTAAAACATAAGGGAAAGGAGGGAAAGGAATGAAAATGCAAAATGAGCAAAATAAGTGAAGAATTAGCATGATATGAAAACCCAGCAGAATTCAAAGATAAGGCTTTCAGTGCCCAACCTGACAAACCGCACAGAATATATAGAGAGTACTAGGGTTACCATTCGTCCGGATTCTCCCGGACATGTCCGGCTTTTTGAGTTTAAAAATAGCGTCCGGGGGGGATTTGTAAATGTCCGGATTTCACACACACACACACCCCCCATGCAGAGCGCGGCACGGCTGACAGGGCAGCCAGCCGGATCGAGCCACTCGCACGGGGCTCCGGCAGCCAGAGCCCCTCCTCCGCTTCCCCCCTCCTCTCCCCTGCAGCTTCAGATCACTCCCCTCCTCTCTCTCCCCCCCTCCCTGCATTCGCAGATCGCCGGACGTTCGCATCGGGCCCCCGGCAGTCTGGAGCTCCTCCCCCTGCTCCCCCTGCTGCCCAGCGCGCCGCTCCGCAGCACTCTGCGAGGGCGGGAACCGGGCTGTGCGCTCTGTGCGGGGCCCGACACGCTGTTCTGAGCGACACGGTAAGGGGGCCAGGGGGTCGGAGATGGGGCAGGGGGGTTCTGGAGGGGGCAGTCAAGAGACAGGGAGCAGGGGGAGGGTTGGATGGGTCAGGAGTTCTGGGGGGGGCTGTCAGGGGGCAGGGGTGGGGAGAGGGATCGGAGCAGTCAGGGGGGTTTAGATGTATTGGGAGTTCTGGGGAGGGGGTCTGTCAAGGAGTTGGGAGTGGTTGGATGGGGTGTGGGAGTCCAGGGGGTCTGTCAGGGGGTGGGGGTGTGGATAAGGTTTTGGGCAGTCAGGGGACAGGTAGGGTCCTCGGGGGACAGTTAGGATGGGGGAGTCTCAGGAGGGGGCAGTCAGGGGACAAGGAGCTGGGGGGCGTGTTGGGTGTTCTGAAGGGGGAAGGGAAGGGGGAAGTGGGAGGGGCAGGGGAGGGGCTCCCACCGTCCTCTTTTCTGATTGTTGAAATATGGTAACCCTAGAGAGTACTATTCCCTAAGGGGTTTCTTTCCACCTACCACATTCACTCACATATACACCACTGATAAAGAGTGAAGGAATTTTTGTAAAATATTGAATTTCCAGGAACCCAAGTCATTTTCCATAGAGTGCATCACACTAAGAACCGAGTGTGGTTTCACTTCCTGAACCACTGAGGAAATACATGTGGGTATCTTTCAGTACATATACCGATAACTCTTACGCCAGCAGTAATCTGCATACCCCTCTTTGCAAGCTTTCCATTATAAAAATATTACATTTTAGCTCCCATAGCCACTGAAGTCCATCACCATGTATATGAATACTCACAGAAGTACTATACAAGATTTCAAAATTTTTAGCTCTTAATACTTCAAAAAGAAGGAGCACTGGATACAACCCCCCCCCCACCACACA